TGTGGGCTGATCCCATCCGCTGAGTACCTCCTTTCACTGCTTCTTTCATATTGAAATGGTCATGGTGGCCTGAAGCTGAGTGGGGGGGAGGCGGTCGCTAACCTTTCAGCTGTGTGGGACGCATTATCCCGCCACACAATAACGCACAATCTCCGTCTTGTTTGCTAACACTGCTTTATATTTCTCCTTCCCTCTTCATGCCTCTCCAGCACTCGGGGAATGTGGGTTTTCTTCAATGCTCCGCTCTCCCCTCCAGCACCATCCCGCCCGTTTGCTTCAGTCCCTCTCTTTAAAGATGCATTATTCCTCTCTCCCGCATGCTCAATTAAACTATTCCAAATCTCTTTTTTAATGCAAATGCCTAATATTGTAAAAAGCGTATGTAAATAGCTCTAGGCATAATCTGCTGTGCCAAGTCTGTGCCTTCTGTCTCCGTTTGTTGCCTCTGACTGTGCGAGCACCTGTTTGTGCGTTTGCTTAAAGAGGATGCAGGAGCTGGTGAAGCCGGTGGTGGGTTTTCTTTGCATCGTGCGTACCTTCGGGCAAGCTGTGCGAAGACACACACAAGCCCGTCTGGGCCGCCAACCTTTGGGCTGCTCTGTTTGTGCATCAGTGCTGATGCTGTAAAGCCTCTCAACCTGCTCCACGCCCACCAGGACAGAACCATTACCAGCCATCTGAAACGCTGCGACTCCTGCGCCTCGGCCTCCTACGGGCAGGGTCAAAGATTTCAAGGTCAAAGGTGACGGCATTAGGGGAGTGGTGTGTAAAACGTTGGCATATATTAAAGCTGCTGCACTGTAGTTTTGCTACAGACTCCTGAGGGGGCCTGACATCAAAGGCTTAAACAGCAGCAAGCCTATTTAAGCGGCAAAGTAGGTGGGGGGGCACAGCAGAAATGCACACCCACGCAAAAACATGCAGACGGGCACAGATACTGATGAATGTCTTCCTTTTGCAGTTACTTTAATGCGACCTGCACAGGTTTTAAGAAAAAAGCCCATACATTAACAGTCACGTGTTAACATATTGTTACATGTGCAGATGGCGCTGTTCGGTTTGCTCAAAGGAAAATGCAAGAGAAGTGGTCTTGAGGTTAACAGATGAAGTGAATTGAGTCACTCACTGGCTGTAAAAATCCACTCTCAGGTAAAATACAGAAAAGACAGGTGCAATGTTTTACTTTTTTATTTGTTTTTAACGGGCAAGCCATTAAAAAAATTAAAATACAAGGAAAATGAAAAAGTATCCAGATAAAATTCAAAATATTGAGGATTTTATCTATTTAGACACGACTTTTGATCTAACTTTAATCTCAGTCCAAAAAGCTCAGTCTTTAAAATTCTAGTATACATGTAGATCTTCCCACTGAGGATTCCCAGATTTATCTAAATGGACATTTTTTTTTCCATGTTTTGTTATATTTTTTTAATAGCCGGTCACAAGGGAGCAAGACAATTTTAAAACCTCTTGAATCAACATATGAGAGTGTTTTAAAGACACATGACAAGAAATCCTGACAATATTATCACCAACATTCTTTCTAAAACTTTTCTTTTAAATTTGAATATCTGATATTTTATGCAAACATTTGTTGAGTTTAAAAAACTCATAATGCGCTTGTGACTCCGTCTTTACTAAGGTTTCTCTTTTTGAGATCAGATAAAAAGGGTGCCCTCTAGAGGTGAGTGTATCATCCCAAAATGTAGAACTGCTTTTACAAAAACGTACATTTCACCGCGAAGAGTTACTTTAAACTCTGACGTGTTCTGGTTATGAAATATTTGCAGATTCGGCCAAATATATGGATGTTAAGTACACAGATCTGGACTTGCTATTGAGGAAGGCAAATAAACTGTTTTGCGAATAGTCTGTTTGAAGTTTGTTTGGTTTAAGTGAGATTTTAATAATGAATTGACATTTATGATTAAACTGCTTTTTCAGTGGTTTTTAATCAAGTGGAAATTAGGACTTTTTGGTATAACCTCTTACCAAGCATTTCTCCTTTTTAAAACATTATTTAAATGATGTCCATTGCCACTGTGTGAATAGATAAATGCTTCAACAAAAAACAGAATAAGAGAAAGTAAAGGCTGGAGAAGTGACCCAGGTGAGCTCTCCCTCTCCAAGCCCACTCCATTATGACCACTGCCACACAGAAACTCCAGCCAGAGCTAATTAACGGCCTATTACTATGCAGATGTATGCAGGGTTGAAAGCAGATCTCAGGCAATAAATGGGCCTGATGAACAAGAGGCAATGAAAAAAAGGGATGTGAAGGAGAGAAGCAATGAGATCAGAGGATGATGGGATGACCGAAGCGTTGCGTGGTAGAGATGCAACAAATAACAGGTAGACATAAAACATAAATCTTCAAAATCTTAAAATTAATTTCAGTTCAATGGAAAAACACAAAAAAGTCTAAAATTGATACAAAGGGTCAAACATAAAGAACTCACCTTCATGTATGGGGTTCATAATAAACAATGAACTTATTTCATCATTTGAACTTGGAGAGCAAACACCAGCAAGCTATCACTTTGGAAGAGTTCAAACAAATTGGTGTGGAAAAAGTAATGTTTTTAATCCTAGTTTGTGATTCAAATGTATGAAAAGGAAGGACAGGCAAGACTGGAAAACTGTAAATGGAAGGAATTAGCAAATGTAAAAGTTGTTTTGCACCTAACCTCATATGGGTTGGCAGCAGAACTCCACCAATGTCTTCCAGCCAACTGGAGATACATTTGAAGTTATCGATGATGGAGCCAGCTTGCTAGCTGGCTGGATAGCAAGGGTATATTGCTGACTGCATACAATTTACCCTTATGTTAGCCTCTGAATTAATATCAATGCTAATATGCCTTTGTTAGCTAGCTATATTAGTAGCTAGTTACTGGTAGCCACCAGCAATCCCAGTCACAGAATGCAGTTAAGATGTTTGCATTCGACTATATATATATTATATATATATATATATATATATATATATATATATATATAATATATATATATATATATATATATATATATATATATATATATATATATACAAATACTTCTGTCAGGACATAATTCAAGAGCTGTTATTAATGTATTTAAGGCCAACTCAATTTTTTTTTTTTTTTTTTTTTTAAATTTTGGACATTTTAAAGTCTTGATTTAGAAATATAAATGTAAAACTTTTTATAAAGCATAAAGCAGGCGATCAGATAAAAAGAGCGCCCTCTGTAGGTGAGAAGTAGTAATGTTTTGTTTTATGAAACTAACTCCTGGTTGCTCAATGAATGGTGGGAGTCTGTGCCAGGTGGAAGAGGGAGCAGTCAGAGTGAAGGTTGTCCAAATCCCTGGGCTGTAAATCACACTCGCTTTCTTAATTTAACCTGTATTTAACAAGACAGGACAGTTAGAGGCTTGCTCCTGATTGGTTGGTTTATCTCGTTGCTGCTCTGTTGGTTTCTCAGCCTGGACCTTCTTTTAGTTCAAATCCACATGGAGATATACCTGACTAATCCAGTGAGATGAAATAAAGCTGCGGATTTAAATTACTAAAGGTCGATTTGTTGAAATCAGCCCCAATTTTCCAGCTAGAAGTGTCAAGAAAAAATAAAAGGGAAGGAAAATAGGTGGGTGCAACAAGATGTCATAATTAAAAAGAGCATCAGTCAAATCTCAAAGGAAAAAAAGAAAGGCAAGTCATGAATAAATTAACATAAGAGCTGTTGCTGGTAAGATCTTGTCAGGGTTATTTCAACCATTCATTTGGGAGAATGCTAATGCAGCGAAGAAGCTGTCAGCTTTGTAAGAACTGCTTGTTGTCAGAATCTATTAGAGCTCATGATCTGACAGGAACTCTGACAAATGCTTTCTATCTGTTTGGACTAATGTTCAACTCGGAAGCCACCTAGAAAAAGGGAAATACTAATAACTCTGAAAATTACAAATGTCCATACAGGATGCAATAACAGACAGGAAATTGACCAGCCACCAACTCTACATGGTGGCTGATATCAAGCTAACATTTTATCAGATCAACCCTTTGCTTTAATAATCAGATACTGATGATGATGCAGGAGCAGAAATTCACTGGTGCCCCTCCCCTACATGTTTCTGACCACTACTGGTCAGCTGGTTAATACCTGGCTACATTGTTTACTGCTTAAAATAAAGAAAGATTTTACTGAAAACATTTCAAAGGGGATAAACAGCAATGTAGATTGAGAGCTGTTAGCAAGTCATGAGAATGTTGCACATCAACAATGTCTTCAGTCAGAGGCCTCTCCAGATTCATTGCAACACTGACTGTTGCAACGAGAGAAATGGATTCTTTGGAAATCACATTAATTGCGACATTTAATTTCGCTTTGAGATAAAAAAAAATCAATCTGAATTGAACACAATGTTACACACAATGACAGTGAAAGAGAAGAAAGGCAAAGTGAATAATTCACAATTTCTGATAAACTACGACTAAATATTACTGACATTTGTGCATCAAGTGCTCTACTATACATCAATTCAAAACACTTTGTAAGACAAAAGATTTATTAAGTAGTATACACTAATTTGTTAATTATGAGGAGAATTAAATATTGTTTGCAACTTAAATTGTTAATTTAATTAATATGCCTGTGAAAACTGGTTCTGTAGTTATAGAGGAAGGGGCAGTTTTTGTTTCTTGTTTTTTTTTTTCCTTTTGCAAGAGCTTTTGCTCATCCTCCTTTTTCATTCATGTTAGTAAGTGTTGAAATAGAATGTGTTTGTGAATTAATGATGAAATTTGTTAGCTTTACTGACTAAATTGATTGTTTTTTTTCACATAGTGTGAAATATCCACCATACATTGCAAACACAAAAAAAAAGTTATGTGAAAACATCAAGAAACAGACTAAAGCTAGATTCCACAAAGTGTAGATGGAACAAGACATCAGGAAAATATTCCGACACTATTTCTGAATATTGCAATGCATATATAGATTACAACAACTCTGCATTTTCTTGACTTTATTGCTTCCATCGCTACAATTTCCACACCACCCCTTAGAAAATCTACAAGTGGGTATGCATCAGTGGCAGGAGGACAAACTCATCACTGACAGCTAAAGTGTGAATGAAGTCCTGAAAAAGTACAGCAGACCAAATATTAAATTCAAACCTGCAAAGATTGTGCTGATGATATATTGAAACAATTCATTTTAAAAAGCACAAACAAGAGAGGTTTTGTTCAGACTCGGCGCTCACATCCATCCTGGTGATCTGACCGTAAACACACAAACCCACACACACACCCACCCACCCACCCACACACACACACACACACACACCACACACACACCCCACCCCCCCACACCCACACCCACCACCACACACACACACACACACCCCCACACACACGCACACACACACCCCCACACACACACACACACGCAGGCGAACATACCTTCCTGTGTCATGGTGCAGTTGGAAGTTGTATGTGTAAAGTTATCCAGAGGTGTTGGACTGACAGACCCACAATGTGTTAACTCATGTCCTCCAGTGAATTCTGACCCTGTTACTAAAGTCTGGAGGAGAGGCGTTGCCGAGGAACACGGGTTTGTGGGAGAAAGGCAGGACCCGCCCTGCCTGGTACCAGCTCCCTGGCACCTGAGGAACAGGGCGTACCCCAAGACCAAACTCAAAGTACATAGGTCCTGGATCTCATGTGTGGGGCTCCAGGGTACGGTTCCAAGGGCCCAGCCGGGCCTCTGGGAGTACCTGGACCCCCCCTACCTTGTGCGGGACGCCTGGTTGGTTGTAAACAAGACTGTCAAACTGGTGTGGGGTTAAGGCAGGGTTTAAATTGCCTTTTCTCTAAATATAATCAAGATGGAGGCTCCATTTAGGTTTATTTTCCAAACGCTTTCCAGATTAAAATTCCGCCCGCAATTAGTAAACCTGCCCCTAAAGCTGTACCAATTCCTATTGTCACATGCTTTAGGAATTTGCTAGATTCTTTTTTCTTGTCTTGATTCGCTTTCATTTCTGCCTCGTTGATTTTCTTCACCTCCTTCTGTTTTGCAGTCTCTGAGTTTTTTTGGTTTTCTTTCACCTCCTTTGGTTTTTCTATCTGTAACTCTTTCTTGACTTCCATCACTTCTTTTCCTAAGTTGTCTATCTGGCTTTCCAGCTGCTGCATTGTGTCTATGATCGCCATTGCTCTATCAATTCTAAGTTTTAAACTTACATTGGCCTCTTCCAGCAGTTCATGAAGAAGTTCAATTTTTCTCACTTTGTATTTGTCCATATATGTCAAGTTGAAGTCCAGCTGCTGCATCTTGTATATGTCATCCACTGCTCTCCATAGTCTGGTATTTATATATTCCATTTGAAAATTGTCATCTGAAAGGCCTTGTTCCAAATTTTTAGCTGACATGTTGTTTTGATCTTTTAAAATGAATCTCACTTCAAAGATGTTATCAATTAACTTATCCAAATTTCTATTTATTTCCATCTCCTTTTGTTTGTCCATGTGTGGTATTTTGGTCATTTCCATCTCCTCCTTTTCTCTCGCTGTCTGTGTATCTTTCATCAGTTTCATTACCTCTTTCTGTACATCTTTTATCTGGTTGTCAAGGTTTTCTAATTTTTGCATGGCCTTCAGTGCTCTATTGAGTCGGGAATTTAAACTTAAATTGCCCTCTTCGAGTAATGTCTGTAATACTTCAATTTTTCTAATTGAATACTTGTCCATCACGGTGATGTCCAGCTGATGCAGTTTATCAATGTCCTCTGCTGCTCTCCAGAGTCTTGCTTCCAAGCAGCTGATATTAAAGTGGTCTTCTGGAAGAAGATCCTCAAGTCCATGAACTACATCATCATCACTAGCCATTATGTTTCCAGCTTTCAAAATGAATCGTATTGCATTGACATCATCATTTAACTTATTCAACTGTGTATTCATTTTCTTCGAGATCTCTGAGTTTTTCTTCATTTCCGTCATAGTTTGTCTGTTTAAACACAAGCCTGGAATGTTTGAACTCTTCACTGACTAAATGTGTCTTGTGATGAACTTATATACAAGAATGCAGAGTTGTGATGTAATGCAGAAAAGCGTGATGTCACAAATTGATGTCACAGCCTCAGTAGATCAAAGGGCAAACTCATCAAGTTTGAATGAAAACATATTTATTTTTACATATTTTTAATGAACCCAAATTTATCTACAGCAACTTAGACCAGCTGTAAAGTTATTTATGCGTGATTTTGGTCATAGTTTTAAGGAAATGTTAACAGATATATCGATATTGCATTGAAGAAATCTTGAAACTTAACGCATGATCTGTTTTTCCAAGAGCTCCATCTTTTCTGTCCTCTTTCGTTTCTCTGCTCTCTGAAAAATATCTGGTTCATTCTCATTAGCGTCTCATTACCACGCCCTGCTGAAGCAGACGTCAGCAGCCGACCAGAAGGTGGCGCTGGTCCATGTGGAGGAGCTGTGTCTGTTTCCTGTCGAGCCTCTGCAGCAGGAGCTCAGAAAGTATCTGAACACTAAAGGTAGAGAGAGCCACTGCATTCTGACACACACACACACGCACACACATACACAGCTAAACATAAGAGTGAGTCAACTCAAGGCAGACTGAGGATTCTCAATTAGTTTCACAAACTCAGTTCAAACTGTCCTTGGAGACACTTTGAAACCTCCCACTCACCTTACATGATTCCACACAGGATCTATTCAATAAACAGTGCTGCTTAAATCCATCTCTGCTTCAGGTTCTTTCATACTGTCAGTCAAAATATTCTGAAGTCAGAATTGTTTTCGGACAGATTTTGTTTTTATTTAAATTTACTTTATTTATAAAGAGGATTCTGGTGAAATTGGCAACTCAAAGTGTTATATAATTGTGCCACATTTATCCAATCAAATAAGCTGGATTTGAACCCCTCAACTTTCAGTAGGTATGGGAGTGTCTCTCTACATACATTACTAAATTAGATATGTAAAGATCCATGAACTATATGATGATGACAAATGCATTACTGGGAGACAAGAAGAATAATAACTTTAAAGCAAAAATGTATGTTAAGACTTCCTATTTACTCTTCAAATAACAGATTCAGACAATAAAAACCCAAACAAATTGCTTTGAAATCAGTGTTGAAAAGCAAAGTGGTATTCCGTTACTCAAATTAGGAATAAATCACTTGCAAACAGCGTAAGTGATGAGTTCTGGGCTCCCAAGCTTGGCTGCTCTTCTACGCCTTGCATGGATGGGATTCGATTTATTATTTCACTCACCAGTACTCCCTTATTTGCCCGAGATGTAATTAACTAATTGATTTGTTAAAAGCTTGTGAACATTGAATACCGAAGAGGCACAGGTTGCGAGCCATCCTCACTTATCCCCGTTAAAATAAGAGTTACTTGTCAGCCAACATTTTAGCACCGCTGCTTTTAGCAAGAAAGCACATTTATTTATTCATGCTTGTCACTGCTATGCATGGATGTTTAACATTACTGTGACATGAGTTAATCAGTTCTTTTGCTGTTTAATTTGGATCAAATGTAATACATAGATGGTTTTTGTTCTGGTTTACAGTTATGAGTGGCTGACTTACGACTGGTGGACGCTGCAGTTGTAGAAGACGAACAAAACACTGGCAAACTTCTTTCCTGTCTCTTTGGACTTCAGATACAATCTTATTATACGTTGGTCACCTAAAAGGAAACACAAAACATTTGATAGACTTTTTTACAATATTCCTGCATTTAATTATTATGACCCAACATAAATGACATCCATTATCTAAAGGTACTTTAATATGGAGCTATATTAATCAAAATCTTGTGCAATCTTAAAGCATGCCACAGGTGGCTTTAGACATGCTTTGTTCTTTTAGAAATAAAACCCTTTTAAGTTAAATTACTCATATTTCTTGCACAGATAAAGCATAGCAGCACTCCAACTCCTGTCCACCTATGTATACCTTTTTTGGATATTCCAGTCAAAGATGGAGTGATATTTACTTCAAGCCCTGCAACATAGTATATAGCTAAAATGAAAGCTGTAAATGCAATAGTGGGAATGAATGAACACGACAGGACAATAATGGAGTCCGGAAGGATTTAAGAGCCAGAGATATCAGGCAAATTTGGCTGATATCTGATTATATTAACTTGAAGAAGGCAGAAGACAAACTAAATGGGGAAGGTCACGGCTGTCAGGAGCCAAAGGAACACTATGAAACAAAATCATAATAAATACTTTTGACCAGAACACTTCATATGGTGTAATAAACAACTAATAAGTTTCCTTACTAAGTAACTGCATATTATTTAAACCAAAAAAATCAATTAGTTACCCTGGTCTCGTGTTATGGGATCAATTTCTTTGGTAGAGGGAGACAGGCAGAAGATCCGTCCGCTGTAGATGCGTCCTTCCGTCTCCACGTAGTCCTCAAAGGAACAGTTCACTCCCGCAGACAGACTGGGCACGTTCTGCGCCTGAAGCACCAACTAGGAAGCAGGACAGAAATCAGAAAAGATGAGCTAGAGCAGAAATTTCAATCAATACACTTCATTACTGATGCCCCCGAAGCAGAAAAATGCTGCTCCGATATCAGGTTTCGGCTCCGGCCTAAAATGATTGCTTGTGATAACACATCAACAAGCTTTATCTAATATCATTTTATATCCTTTTCCCTGTATGCCTCCCCCTTCTCCAGCTTTACCAACACACAGAAACAGCCCCAAACATCTGAAAAGATATAAAAACATGACAGGACTGCGTACCTGCACTTCTGACATGGTGACCGAGACGGTCTCCGGGTGGACGGACAGATGAACGCACTGCTCCACTCTGGTGGTGAAACGCTGGGGCTCCTCTGCTCGCTCGCAGCGATCCCTCCTCGAACACCTATCACAGGAGATTATCCCACACATCTCTTTAACAAAGATCCTCAGTGTCATATTCTGATATCCCCTTTAATCTCACATTAACAGCTTATTTTACTTTACTTGTTGATGAAAAGCTCTGTCATTAGAAGAAGCTAATGACAGAGGTCTTTTCTCAACTGGGACGCATAAATTGTTGCCATTTATAAAGGCATTCACATTCCAGTTGTTTAGTGCTGCAAATATCACAAAATTATTGATCTGGTGTATGTACTTAAAAAAAAAAAAACAGAGTTACAGACGGAAAGTCTGTTGATTAGTCTGTGCAGATATGCATGGAAATTAGAAATAAATTAGGGAAGCACATACAAAATAACTTACATTGAAAAAGCTGAGCCCAGCAATTACTAGAATATGTCATGTTAAATGGTGCCGTGTGAACCAAATCAGCACTTTTTCAATAGCTGTGCAAATCTGCAGGAGCTGAAGCAAAACTAAAATATGTATGAATGCTTACAGTGGCGGTATGTGTAAGGTTCAAGTGTAATGAAATGTCAGCCATACACTAAAATCTGAATTACTGTGTAACACACCAGGAATGAGCACACAATGAAAGGGTGCATGCAGTACATGTCATAAATGACTGACAGCAGCTGCTCAGTCATCCTTCATCTCATTTGTTGACTGGAGAAGGGAAGGCAACTGTTTTTGCGCCAGTTTGGGATCACGGACATGTGGAAATATGAAAAGTGTTGCAAACTTTAGTATTTGTCATTTTTTACTCTAATACTCCAAAGTAAAATCAAGTGCCACCAACTACAGAAGTTTTAAGAGGTAAAGATTTCACCTGTGTGTAATTTATAAGTTGAAGTAAACCTCTGCTTTGGTCTAAAGCAGACTCTCCACCCACACTTCAGCCTTTAGATGCATCCCAGCTGTAACACGCCTGAGTCTCTTTAGGGAGCTCCAGGTTTGCACCTCTCCTCCTGTTGCTCCTTGAAACCTCATACTGGCTGCTGATAATAAGAATGTTTTTTTGTGCCCCTGAACCTAAACGCATAAAAATGAACAATTCATTTGTGGCACGTCAACTCTGACAAACTTTTGTTCTGACTGCTCTGTTCTCACAGCTTGAGAAAGTCTATTTAAATGAACCGCATGACGAGCCAATCACAGACAGGTTTTCTTTCCATCCAATCAGAGTATTTATTGCAAATATTGCATTTGCTTGGATAAATTAAACAAATTAAACCAGCAAATCTGGGTAATGCTTCTATGGGCAGGAATTACAAATCAAAATGGAAAGATTCCATAATTAACCAAACACTTGACTTTTGTAGCTTAGGTTAGTTAGGCACACAAATATGCTTCCTGTGCATTTTGGGTAATAGTTAAACATTTCTCAAGCTACTACAAAATATGTCATAATTAGTTCTTCTTTTAACAGCAGATTTTTAAAGAGAAATCCAGGCAAAGTCCCACATTTCTTACAATTTTTATTGGCAAAAATGTTTTAATTTCCTTCAACTTCAGAACTATGCACATCTTTGTCTGGCTTATTGTGCTAAATCTGATTAAAATATATTGGTTTTGTTGTTGCAATGCAAGAAAATGTAAACACCTAGTGTATTAGCACTTTGCAGAAGTATTGTATGAATGCTGATAGTATTAGCATGTGTAACCAAGTCAACTAAAATTGAAAGTACTCTCGTCTACATCCAGGTAGAAAAGCAGTAAAAGCAGTAAAAGCAGTAAAAGTCCAAGTGCAGCAGAGGAGAAAAGAAAACAGCCAGACAAAGCGTTCAGTACTTGCTCGAGATGACTGACAGCAGCTCATCAGTCATCCTTCATCAAGATGGAGCAACTCATCCATTATCTCTAAATACCTCAGATACAGACTTTGTGAAGGGGAAGAAGCCGCCTTTTTCTTTATTTTTGGATTATGTGATAACTAGAGCTCTTGGAAGACAGAACATTTTCAATTACACCTAATTAAAAAAATTTGCACGGCTCGGGCAATTTATTGATGGGAGATTTTACTGAACATAATTACAAAAGAGAAAAAATAGGGTTTTCTGATCTTTAAAATCCTGAAAATGAAACAGAAATGGAGGCTAACTAAACCATAAAAGATTAAGACGATATAAACCAAACAGTTAATCAAATCAATGTCATGCATCTTACCTACCTGATGTTAGAATGTTCAGGTTTTATATACTCAACCTAAATGTAGCACCTTTTAGGTATTTTTGGACAGTTCTTTTTAACACCATGAGATTAAAACAAGGTTTAATGAAGGGATTACATCTAAACGTAAAACTCTATCAAGGCCTAACACTAAGGGCCAGGCCCACATGCAGTACTTAGGCTCTTTCAAGTGGGAATGCTGCAAAGTATTTTGAAGCTTTAAAACGTAAATTTCTTAACGATCTGATGAGTCAGATATCCTTGAAGCACCTCAAAGGAAGACAGGTTCATGCTAAGAAAAAAGCTAGGGGAGAGCTACTGCACCCTCTGGTTTAATCAACACAAACTGGGCGAATTAAACTTCAAAAGCAGCTTCACTGTGTGCAAGCACTCACATGTTGTGCAGCACACACCAGCCACAGTGAGGGTCTCCTGATCCCAGACAGTCTCTACAGGATGTGTACTGCTCACAACTCTCCACCGGCACACGGGTCACCTGGAAGAAAATGTAAAAACAAAAGGTCACAGCTGGTCGACGTCAGAGGGAGAATCATCTAGTCCAACAGACTAAATATGGTGACTAGTAACTGGACGTACTGTAGGAACATGCAGATAGGGTTTCTGTGCGTATTTGCACATAAAAACATTGCTTCATTATTCCAGTTTGTATATGAGTTAGACTTCAATCCAATTTTAATTAACATTTCATTTTAATTAGTCTTTTGGAAGTCCTGAGTGTTGGTTTGTCACATAAAAATAAATCACATAAAAAGCAGTGAAGACCAGCTTTGCAGCAAAATGCATTTTTGATGTTGGCTTCCTTTTAAAGTTCATATAGCTTCATTTTAAACAGAAACTTAAACCTCAACTCACTTTCTATAATTGTCTTTCCTCAGCCCAACACATTTCGGTAAGCATCTCAATATGAAGGAGTATAAAATCAAAGCATTTGAAAACAATGAGCTACTGTGCTTGATACCATTAAGATAAACATCAGTGACTGCCTTGTTTGAACACTGACTCATTTCAAACGCCGTTTTATGGCATGAATGAGAACAAATCTAAACTTTGATGATGTCAAACAATACAGCTAAATGGATTTGTCTACAAAAGACACCTGCATTCATATTTTAGCATCAGTGGGACAGAATTTATCTTTAGGAAGCCCAGAGAAACTGATCCTTGCAGGTGTCATGTAACAGCCCCGTGCAAAGCAAGAAATTCAAAAGAACTTCCATATTATGGCACTTCCAGGAAACTCTAAATTGCTAAAGGGTCCTAATAATTAACTCTATAGAAAGCTTTCTGAAATGTTGAAGTCATACCTGTGAGGAAAAAGGTTTTATGCACCCAGCTGACAATTCAAAACATCAAGTGCATCAGTATCCATATGGTAAATCTGTATTTGCTGGATGCGATTAGCCAGTGACAGGTGGATTGGCAGACAGAGCGCTGCCTCAGGCAAACTCACACACAGGAACCGACGCCAGCAGGAAGGCTACTCCTTGGCCCCAAAAACAGACTTTCAGACAAGTTTTCTGGGGCATCTGTTAAATTCTTAAATACATCACTGACCACCAAGTACACATTCACACACAGACAAGGCGTGATGTGCGTGTGCACACACGTGTCTGGCTGTTTCATTTAGGTGAAGTATGAAATCAATAGCACAGCAGAAGCAGGAGGCACATGAGATTAGCTGGAGTCAGTCTGCATTCTAATACCAGCTGCAGGCGGATGCTTTCAGAAACCTTCATGGGGAAAATACCACAACAAACTATCTCATTCAACCTGCCACACTTCAAAGAATAAATTATTCTGTTTTCATCACATGTTTTTACACAATCATTGTATAACTGACCAAACACATTGCAAATTTTATGTCAATATATAGCAAACATATGTGTTTATTATTCAAGATTGTGTCAGTGCTAATTGCAATGCTAATGCTAACTAGCTAGGGGTAGAAAATTATTATGAATCAATGTGGTTTTTTTTTACTTTAATTTACATGTTTGCTTCCCATTACCACAAGCAGTAAGTAATGTTTCTTGATACTGTACTTGAGGGTTTTTCATTCCTGATTCCTGATAGTCCAGTAGACTAAGTTAACAAAAATTGCAACATTTGTTACATTTTATGCTGGTGGAGTTTGCTTTCAGGCAGACTAACCAAACTAATTGACAAATCTGTTCACCCCTTTGCCAAAAACCAAGAACTACTGAAGGAAACAACACAAAAACCTCTGAAAGAGACAGGAGTCCTACTTTCTTTTTCAGATTAGGCAGTCTTAAAGGGGTAGGATTTTATGTTTTCCAGGCACATAGTGCCATTTTATACCCCGATCAAGTAACTATGTTATGTTCAGTTTTAATAAAAATGCTGTATATGACTTAAAAGAAATTTGACTTCAATGTTTAAAGCCTTGAAATCAGGTCCCTTTAAAAACTCCTGCTCTTTCTCACTCGCCTTCAGGAAATTGATCATTTTGTGATTTTACCAAATGAAAAATATGTCCTATAATGAGCCCAGCAGATGTGCAATTCCACCAGGTGTTAGCTAATTGCTGTTAGCTAGTCTGAAGGAGCAGCATGGGGGAGTCGTATGAAGGGCTGCTCTCTGAGAAGGAAGCTTGGGAGAAGAAGTTGGCACTCGGTCCACCCAGGCGTTTTGCACAGCTGTTGCCATAGAGATTAAATAATTTATGCTAGCCATGCTAACAGTACCAATCATTTACATGAGATGCTAACATCAGATTAAAATCTCAGCTGTGAATGATAATGTTGTCCTGTTCTCAAACTATTACTAGAATCGCTGGCATGAAAGAATCAAATCAACCCTCCAGGTATGTTTTTGATTAACATTGTAACAGCTCAGAAAATGTGATTTTACATAATACTGCCCCTTCAAAAAAAGCAAATGATTCACTAGTAAAAATGGACCTGAGTGATTGGACAAACATACTCCACTACTCCACTGAGGAGCTACTGTTCTAAATTATTCAACCCATTATGCTTTTGAAAGTCAAAACATAGAAGTGCTCTCACACAATACTTGCCACATTCCCTCCATTTTACCCTCAGTTCCTGGATCCTCAGGTTCTCTGGGTCACACAAATGTACAGGTGAACACAATGCCTTATCGCAGATTCATTGCATGGTAATAGTAACCGGTGTCTGAAGGCCACCATAATGTAGCCATCAGTAGGCACGAGCCTCTTACAGAACACCAAATGGCAGCAAATTGCAGTCATTATTTGTGGCTGTGAAAATACTATGCTAGTAATACAGCCCATCTGATAAAGAGAGGGAGGGGGGAAGGTAGTAGGGAGAACAAAAAAAAAAAGAGCTCCCTGCTCTCAAGCACAATAGCCAGAGAGAGAAGTTTATTCAGTGGAGCTTTGTGATAGCAGGCTGGATGATATATTCCAAGGGAAAAGTTAAATTATTAAGTTTTAGAAAACAGATAATGGGGAGGGTAAGTGGGAGATGCTCAGCCAAAGACTCTTTGTCTCACTCTAGGTGGCACAGCGTCTGTGTTTGTGACAGAACTGTAAGTGAGCAGCACCTATTTATATTAAATATGGCATTTTCATCCCTGGCCCATTTATGGCGGTGGAAAGGGGGCCGAGAGGGGGCATCCATCTATAGACAGGGGAGGGAGGTGGATAGGAAAAGGACAGGAAAATTACAGCAGAAGGTAGAGAAAGACACAAAGAATGAGATCATGAGACGAGAGAGGGGGCCAAAGGGGGTGTCCATTTAACCATTCATTTTGGCTTTCAGGTGATAATGGACAGTGTTTGTGGATGAAAATAACCATCCAATGCAATTCAGATTTATTTCTTCTTTTTTTTTTTTCTGGTTTTACCACGTTTTCACAGTGCAGGAAAGCGAGAGGAAGAGAGCACAGGAGATGATGAGGGGAGTTTATTACAAATAAATAACAGCTACAAATGAGCCTCTCTCATTTGGGTCATGATAGAGAGGCTCTTAATTTGCCTAGTGGCAGATGAGAGGGGGGAGGGTGCAAAGAAAGGGGAGAGTGGGAGGTGTACAGAGAAGGATAGATGAGAAAGACACACAAATGTAATTGCGACTGATGTTTCATTCCACATATGGGGCCCCCTTTTCCACCACAGCTAGCTGTAGCTGTGAGCTTGGGTGTAATTGTCCCATCTGTATAATATGGTGGCGAATATAAGGTGCTATCACAACACAATAGGCTGATGGATGGCTTATTCCGCCAGCGAGTTTCGTTCAGATGCAACCACGGTAGCATCAACACAGAGCAGATGTGCAATTTGAGGTAACACACTGGGTTGACGTACTTGACCTTAAGGTGGTTTTAGCAAAGAAGAAAAAAATGAAGCAGCCAATTGGCACTGAGGCTACACACACACACACACACACCCACACACCCACACACACACAGAGAGTAGCGGGGTTCTCAATGGTGAAGATATTGTATGTCAACAGATAATTATGGGTTCTAACTGATTTATCAACTTAAGACTAATGTTTCATTTCCAAAAAAGAAAGCCTTTTTTGTCCTCTCTGTACTTTTTCTATAGCCTACACTGTGGTGAAACGCTCCAAATGACGCCATAGATCACATGAAACCACAAACAGACACAATCCTGGAGGAAGCAGACTGTGGGAGATGGAAGACAAGTGAAGAAACATCTGACAAAGGGATGAACATAATCCCTCTTTATACTTCAAATTTCTAGTCAACAAATCTTGAAGCAGCCCTGGTCTACAAAAAAGAAGTACACAAGCTGAAATTTATGAAATTTTCCAAATGTCGTATTGATAAAATACATCAAAGCTTTTGAGTGTTTAGTTTGATGATACCTGAAGGTATGAGTGTCCAGTTCATTTAGTTTGGCTTTTTCAAACTCTTGACAAATCACTGAACCGGTTCCTTTCAAATAAAGCTCGGCTAAATTTCTCTTAAGATAAATTAGCATAGCTTAGGGGTGCTGTGTTGGCGCAGGGGTTAAATACAGCCTACAGATGGAGGCCTTTGTCCTCGATGCGGCTGTCGCAGGTTCGATTCCCGGCCTGGCCTTCGCTACATGTTTTCTCCCTTCTTTCAATACCCACTTTCCTGTCAATTCACTATCAAATAAAGGACACGAGAGCCAATAAAACCTTTTAAATAAGTAAACATTTGAAAGAAATAGAAATAGAAAGAAATAGCAAAGCCAAAGTAAAGGAACGGGAACCGATGAGCAGCTCTTGAATGTTTATTTCTGTTATCTTACTATGAATTCACATGACGCCACTCCTAATACAGGTTGATGAGAAGCTGCCATGTTCTCACTTGATTATCAACAGCTGAAGAGCAATCTTAAAGTGAGACGGAAATTCTCTAATCACCCTCAGTGGAAGCATCGCTTTGGCTCTTACGCCTTTATATCCCTAAGTTCCTTGTGGGAGTTGATATGAAGCTCATGGTTTGACCTGCTATAAATAGTTAAAGCACTGGGAA